CTGCGCAGTAGATCGTCTCAGTAGATTGTTATACTGTAGAATCTATCTATAGTATAGTACAGTCAGTAATTCGTACAACGACCGACAGATGGTATCGTAATGTTGATCGTGTGTCACGTTGAGATCAACGTCAGAAACATTTGAAATATATATTTAAATATAGAATGTGGTTTGATTATTTAGAGTTGCGATGTTTAGGTGCTACTACACGAGAATGCGTTACGATATCGTTTCGTGATGGATTGACCGTATGTTGAACGAACGTCCTTAACCTTAAAAGAAGGTTAATGTTTTCATTCAACAGAAACGTGTATTTGTGTGAAAGAATTGTTACAGAAAATGTCACATCGTCTGAGTAACAAACAGAAATTAAAGTCACTTTTACAAGTGACCACCACCGCCGCTATGTTTTATGGTGGCTTTTGCATTTATCAGGGTGATGAGAACTTTTATAACAAATTTGTCATGCCGCTTGCACGGTTGGTGAATCCTGAGGTTGCACACAATGCAGCAGTGCAGGTATTAAAATGGGGCCTTTTATCTACAAAAGATACAAACGATCCAGCTTCTCTAAATGTCGACGTTTGGGGCATGAAGTTCAAGAATCCGGTAGGAATGGCAGCTGGTTTTGACAAACAGGGAGAAGCTGTAGCTGGCTTGCACAAAATAGGGTTTAGCTTTGTAGAAATAGGCGAGTACTATTAATGAATCATGGATCATGGATGAATATTATATTTAAATTTTCATTGCAGGATCAGTTACACCGAAACCTCAACCTGGCAACTTAAAACCAAGACTGTTCAGGTTATTGGAAGACAATGCAGTTGTCAATCGATATGGTTTCAACAGTGAGGGCCACGACATTGTTTGGGAACGTTTGCAAAAACTCAAGAAGAATCAGAACTTCAATGGTATTGTCGGGGTCAATTTAGGTAAAAATAAAATGTCGGAGGATGCCGCGCAAGATTACATAGATGGTATTAGGAAATTCGCAGACGTTGCAGATTACTTTGTAATCAATATATCCAGTCCCAATACTCCTGGATTGAGAATGTTGCAGAACAAACGTGATTTAGAAGACCTATTAACAAAAATAAACAATGTCAGACAATCTATACAAAGCAAACAGCCATTACTGTTGAAACTGGCTCCAGATTTATCAGATTCTGAAAAGCAGGACATTGCAGATGTAATAGCTAAGAAAAAATCAAAAGTCGACGGTCTAATATTATGTAATACCACAGTTACGCGTAATAATTTAACAAGTCCTCTTAAGGAAGAACTCGGAGGGCTTAGTGGGGCTCCTCTGACCGACATGTCCACTGCAATGATCTCAGATATGTACAAACGAACATACGGTACCGTTCCTATCATTGGAGTCGGTGGAATATTTACTGGAGCGGACGCTTACGACAAAATCAAAGCTGGCGCTTCTTTAGTACAAGTTTATACGTCATTCACGTATCGAGGGCCACCAGTTATAGGAAAGATTAAACGAGAATTGAACGATATGTTGAAAAAGGACGGCCTAAAGTCTATTAAAGACGCTGTCGGAAAAGATACCAATATTAGATGAACGGTTCTATAGTTATCTGTTAATTTTTGTAACGTTAAAGCAGTGTATCAGAAATATGTACATTTTATACGAGCAACCATGTTGTTGTAAAGATGTTCAGTCGTTGCAGTTCCCATTTTAAACATTATGTATACCCCAGGTACATAACATTGGCAATAAAGCAACGTCCACGATGAAAATTCACAACGGCTGACGTTCTTTGCGTAACATTTATTTAAGTAACTGAGTTATACATATTCATTTGAATCAGTGTGTTTTGTACAATTATTTAGTACATCTATTTGAAAGCATTAAAATATGTCTGCGGTACCTGATACGTTACAACTAACATTTCGTTCTGCAACCTGCGGTCAGGTCTTACGTACACTATGGTTAATACTCGCTGGTAATGTCTTCTTTGCACGACTTACGATTAAACAATGTTGAGGCACTTGGAAATAGCTTTTCTTTTCTCTCTCTCTCTCTCTCATTCGAACATTGTAAAGATTCGTATACTTTAAAGTCGGAATAAATGATGATAAAGTGATTATAGATCGTTGCGACAACTACGATTATTTCTCTAATATACATGTTTCTACTCACAATTACAGTTTTTTTAAAATCAACTTTTGGTACCATTGTTTCTAACAATTCGCTCTAACTCCCGCTACACGATGACAATTAACATAAATATGAATCGTGTAGCTTTAAATTAGCATAATCGCCAGAAGCTAGAAGCAACGAAAGATCGATAAAGAATAAATCGTTGTCAGGTTGATAGGCAATTCTTATACGTATTACATTTTCAGGTACACAGTTACGATAACATACGAGATGCCTCGATGTTAAACGTTAATGTAGACCAAGATTTCCACCCAGACCCTGTTCTTTCCTCCACTGGGCTAATCGTATAGCGTACCAAGCCTAGAAGATGCAAATATATACGTCAAATTGTGATTTCTCTTATCTGACAGTATTATCAAAATACAGTAGAACTTCAGATAATGGAACAATTGCTTCTTCTAAATCAAATTTTACTTATTCAATTAGAGACGAGAAAAATTCTTAATTTGCTTTAATGTTTGGAGGATGCAAATGTTTGGCTCCATTTTTCTAGAGTCACATTCTTTTTCCTACGCATTGTTAAAATACTGGTAAATTATTATCGTCTTGATCTACCTTGAAAAATTATAAAATTATGAGAAATAAGTGTACAAACTATTTGTCAATTTACAAATAGTTAAACTTTATTAACACTCTTGTAATATTCGTACCTATGTCAGAACGTTCAAATCATGTTTCAGCATTAGGATATATGGGAAGCTCTATTGTATTTCTCTTTCGGAAGGTAAATGAATGATAAAGACCTCGACGTCGGATTCGGAAAGTCCAGTTTCGGCTGCTAAAAGGACGACATCCGCCGTGTGAGGTGCCCTCGGCCATCTGTTGAACTGTTCCTGGAGAACAGCTTCTTGATCCGTCGTCAGACGAATCACTCGAATGTCGGATCCTCTGCTGGGATACTGTGGCGAGGCAGATCGCAGCATCTTATCTGCAAAGAGAAGAAACAAGTCATCGATGCAACACGTTCAACGCAAGGTCGCCGAGATGACCTCTGCTCAGAGAAAAATCACGACAATTATCGCGACAAAAGACGCGTGAATCAGCGCGACGCATCGTGAATATATGTCTGGTCTTGGATATTCCCTTTTATGGAGAACAAACAGGTGGTGATATACCATAAAAGAACGAGAATCGACTTCTAGCCTGAAATTGACTTTCGTTACATAACTCATGCGTCTCGCATTATCAGCAGCTCGCAAGTTATATTACGGAGGCGTGGTAATCGTAATAGTCGTATAATAACGCCGATATTGCATAAACACGCCTTTGTTGTTTTGTATCTGTCATATTATTATGGTATAAGAACGTGCGAATTGTTTATTAATCGTGCATTAATTCACCTGTTAGCAGGATGACCTCTCAAGTGGGAATTACTACGAATTACGAAATTAAAAATTAATCTTTCAGAGGGTTACTGTATATTAGGCGAAAATAGGAAATTGTTTATATTTCTTTAGTCTTTTATATTATGTTTTCTATTCCAATTTTATAAAACTTTCATGGTAACAATTTTCATTGTTTCAAACACAATTACCTGAAGAAGAGAAGAGCTTGAGTAGAATGATCCAATATTTAAAATTTGAAAATGCAGAAATGCCACAATAATTACACTGTGAATTTCTATGCATTTACGAAAGAGAAGATGCAAAAATGAACACAATATACAAAAACATATAAAAGAAAGTATTTATTCCTATTACTTTAATTATGTTTCTAAAAATTTAAAAATGCATAAATATCCGCGATCTAGTAATAATATTTAACAAGTAACTGATAGTATATTTAATAGATAAGTTAATTGTTTTTCAAATCCCATTTTTCTCAATTACCTTCATAAGAATATGAATTTGCACAAATATCCACAGTGTAGTTACTAGTTATCAAATACAAGAGAATGGCAAACTATATAACAAGTTAACTCGTTAACAGGTTAAAATGATTAAAAAGGTAACAACACGATCTCTGGTTAAATTCAGCACGATCCCTGCTGCCACGAAAGTTAACAACTCTGAAATCCACATGTTGGGAGGACGGAACGAGCAACGAGAATAGCGTGACATTGACCCAACGTCAGGGGCGGCTCTGCTTTTGGATACATTTCAAAACTCGATTACACGGGAACAGGAATAACAAGAATCAGGTCGTACTATTCTTTCTCCGACAGCGTTTCGTTCCAACATCTTTTTATGATTTCTTTCTTCTTTTTCATAGATCTTCATTCAAACGAGTCAGTTAAGTTAAAAAGTCAGAGAAATGGACAAAATTACGCTCGTCACCAAACATATGACAATTGCGAATATAAGTACAAATGTATAAATATATAGTATATAGATACAAGCGAGTACACTCGTTTGTGTATAAATACAGCTGTCTCTTCGGCGATAGAAGAGAAGAAAATTTCACTGGATAAAATTAAATGGTACATGTGGTCTACTTTGGAAATGGAGGTGTTTTAAAAATTTCGGAGTCATTTTTCTTTTTTTAAATCGAGCCGGGTATTTTTATTTGTATTATCAATACGTTTTTTTCTACTCCGTATAAAGTACTTGTATTTGAAAATTATTAGTTTAAAAAATGTTTTAACTTTGATTTTGTAAGACTTATAGCGTGAAAGAATATATAGCAAATTAAAAGTATATAAGCGTACTTCATCCTTCATAAATCTTACAAAATTCAAGTTAAAATATTTTTACTTCAGGAGTAATACTACTTTTATAGAGTATAAAAATGTAATGGTGCGATATAAAAAATATATTATTCAATTTAAAAAAAA